TCTTGGGATCTAAAATAAATTTTGTGAATTTAATGCAATTGTAAAAAAAAAAAAAAAAAAATGCCATATTTATACAGATTATATCATGTCTTAGAATTTGATATATATGAATTTAAATATATATAAATGTAAATACATAAATATGTTTTACCTTTTTCTAAGCAGGCACTTAATAATGAAGGGAGGGCACAGTATGATGCATTTTTGTTCCTTGTTCATTTCGTTTCACACCAGTTTTGTAATTTTTTTATTTAACAAGTTTAATTTAAATTGATGCAAGAGATATGGTATACTGTATATTTATAAAGTAGTCATTTCATGTCCAAAAGAACTTAAAAAAAAGACCCATGGTATTTCCAAATGATCAGATCTTTAAGAAGGATGTTTTATATCTTCTACGTCAAGCGAAGCATCATAAAGGCCTTCAGGTGTCTGCTCCCTGTTCGCATGTTTGTATAGACACTTCTGAAATGTTTTTTGTATTTCCTAAAGCTGTACATTTTATGCTGATCGGTTTATTTTCAAGCAGTTCATATTTTTTGTTTGCTGACTTTTTTAAAAATATAAATATATATCTATTTGGTCCAACACTCATTTTATTACAGACAAGTATACAAAAATGTACAGACAAGAGCAAAAATTTGTTATACCTGTTATCACTTTGGATATCAAACGGATCGCCTTTGGTGGGCGCGATCTGTTACTTTTACACTCTTTTTTTGTTTTGCGTTTGTTTTTTAGTAAATTATTAAAACTCTTGAAGATGACGTTGTGCTCGCTGTTTGAGTTTTTGTTTCAGAAGATTGATTTACCTTCGTGTCTTCATCCTGTTCAGAGTCATTCAGCTGCTGGATTTATTCCAGTTTTCATGAAATGCAAAATAAACCGTAATGCCCATAAAGTCAGTTACATCAATATATCCCTTAAATGTTAACTAATATATATTAAAAACAAAAACAGCATGGATTCTCTTTTTAAATGGGATATTTTTAAATAACTTTCTGGATAAAACCTAAATCCAACATTTTTAATTCTAAATCAAATGCTGGGAGATGTTTCTGCTAACTCCTGATAAAAGTAAAAAAATGGTAGTATCAAAAAAAAGTAAGAAACACATTACTGTACATTTATTCAACACATTTATAATAACATGAAGTAAGGAGCTGTATTTGAGCCTTTAAACCATTTAGCAGTAAAATATTCCTGGAGGAAAATTATACCACCCACATGCCTGCATGCCAAAGTTTTAAACTTGATCTGTTAGTACTCAGATTGTGAGGTGGGGATGACTCTCAGCTACAACCACTTCAATGTTTAGATCAATATTTGCAAAGTTGACTGTTATATGAGCTTAATTATGACAACCATCTTGATTTGGACTGAAAAGTTGATCAGTTGTAGATGTATATCTAATGATTACTTTCTGAGAGTTATCAAAATCCATCCAGTGGTTTATGGGATATTTTGTTAAAAGACAGACAACCCAGCACACATACATGTAGAAAATTAAAATATAGTCTGCCTTTTAAGTAATAACAGCTGTGGAATGTAGTACGTGCCACTTGTTTTTTAATATTTTTATTATTTTTGCGGATTTGAGACACTCGAGGGTGAGTATTTTTATTTTTTGATACTTTTGCCACAGCACTACATAATACTTAAAGAATTTAGAGAATATATTTCAATTTTACTTTATATATAATAAAAACTAGGGATGCAGAATATTGGATTTTTGGCCAGTAGCCGATATGTTAAAACTTATTTGACTGATATCCAATACCAATACTGATATTTTTTCCCTAGACCTACCTTCAGAAACTATAGCTTTCTCTGCTGTGGAATAAAAATACTACATTATTCTGCATGGTCTTTATCAGTTTGGCCTAATACCAAATGAAGATGAAAACAAGGGGGCTGAAAATGATGTAACACTTTAACTTGGATTATGTTTAATGTCAAATTTATTAATGACATTTACTCTCTAACACAATGACAACACTCCAACAGTGCAAGTCTGTAAATTTTCACAAATCTAAACTCAACGGCACGTGATGTCATGTTGTGCTGGCGCTGCAGGCATCCTTGTCTCTGGGTTGTCATACAAAAACAGTGACTTAGATATATACATATATAAGCATCCATCCAGCTATCCATTATCTTTTACCTGCTTCTTCCATTTTGGGTCACGGGGTATATATATATATATAT